TATGCCTCCATCATCTTAGCTAATGACAACGTGAATGCTACACATCATGGAAGAGCGAACTATCGCACAAGAAAGAAACAAGCAGGCTCAAATCTCACATGGCTACCTATATGCTCTATCTCTCATTCTGATTCCATAGATGCATAAACGACTGTCAAGAACAAGTGATCCATTCAAGTCACAGTCCTACTGCACGTCTCCAGTCGGTCCTTGTGCAATCGAGTAGGAAAGGGGAGCTGGGGTACATACTCCTTCACCACTGGTTGCGGTTTAGGAGCAGGCACCTCAACCTCCTTCTCCATTTCCTCTTCATTAGCTGGAAGTGCTGAAGCAGGGGTCTCTCTCTCTTCTGCCCGAACAGGTGGATCGGCAGTCACCTTGCCACTCTTGGTGGTAATGGCCCCGCAGTGCTCATTCGGGTTCTGCGGATGAGGGATGGTCTGACCGAGTAGAGTACCAGGAGGTCTCTTAGCTACAGCCTGGGCAACACTCCCAAGCTGGTTCTGGATATCCCTAAGCACAGCTTGCGTGTTTCTCTGACCAGCTTCTAGCTCCATGAATTTTCCCGAAGCTTTCTCCATGAACTGCTCGATGTTATTGAACTTGTTTGCGCTGGAGGTGGCCAGAGAACCCACCAGATCTCGCAGTTCTGCCATCGGGTCACTCTGTGTTGGGGCTGCAGGTGCGGTCCCTGTCTGCTGAAATGGCCGCACCTGTGACTGAGGTGGAACTGGCCCCTGTCCGGGCGGGTAGAGTGGCTGCTGTGGCTGCTGAAATTGCCCTTGTCGGGGCTAGTAAGGAGGCCTTTGGAAGCCAGGTGGTCCCTGGGGGCTAGTGGTCTGGAATTTTCCCCACCCCAGGAGAAGTTGGGATGCTGGCGCCACCCCTTGTTGTAAGTGTTGCTGTAGGGGTCGAAGCGCCTGGCATTTCCGATGAAGTCCACCTGCTCCTGGGGAGTAGAAGAGTCCCTCATCGCCTGGAAATCCTCCACGGTGTGATGAGAACTCTCACACCACTGGCAGAGCATCGCCTGCTGCTGTCCGGTACCTGCAATCATCCCAAAACGATCAATAGCTGAAACCAGCTTCGATACCACCTACACCAGATCCGATGACTGGGTGGATACAACATGCACACCCCGTCATGGTGCTCGTCTCGATCTCCTCGCAGTTCCCCAGTCATAGCCCTGCTCTGCCATCTCCTCAAAAAGTTGATTCAGCTGGGGCGGTGTTTTGGTGAGCATATTCCCGCCACAGACCGAATCAATCAGCTGCTTATCCTCCGGGAAGAGAGCATGGTAGAAGGTTCCCACCTTGAAGGCATCAGTAAAACCATGGTTAGGACACTTGAGGAAGAGACTGGTGTATCTCTCCCAAGCATCCCTGATAATCTCATCCTCATCCTGAGCAAAATGGGTAATTTGCTTCTGCAGGTCCGCCGTCTGGGATGGAGGATGGTAACGGGTGAGGAACTTGCCCGCCAGGTTGGCGAACGTGGTGATAGAGCCCGGAGGTCGAGTGTCTAGCCACTCCTTGGCCTGCCCCTCCAGGGTGAATGGGAAGTACCTCAGCTGGATGGCATCTGCTGGGACCCCATTAATCTTGATTCCATCGATGAGCTCATGTAATCGCCTGAGATGTGCACGGGGGCACTCCCCCTCTTTGCCTCGGAACACTATCGAACCGCGCAGCATTGTGATGACAGAGGTGCTATCCTCAAAATTATTTGCTGGCACATGTGGGTGTTGAATGGGTGACCTCATGTCTGCAGCCCTGGCGGTCCAGTAGTATCCCATGGTCTGCTCCTCTGGAAGGACCACATCATGGTCCTGTGCATCCCCCAACTCTTCTTCTTCTTCTTCGATCTGCAGCTGCGCTAGCTCTTCTTCCGCAGCCAGTCGCGTCTTTAGAGCCCGCTTGAAGTTCCTGCAGGTTCGTTCAAGCTTCTGGTCTAATGGTAGTAGATCTCCTGACTGGCTACGGGTCATGCACTACGTGCACACAATCAGCAGAAGCCACCCGTGAAGGCACACAGGTGGAAGAGAGAAAATGCAATAAAGAAAAAAGCTAGAGTAACAAATTTTCACGTTTCCCCAATAACCTAAAAGTTTCCTCGGCAACGGCGCCAAAAACTTGACACGCCAAAACACAACACCAAACTGGGACCAAGTGTAATCGCAGTCCGGGAATGCAGTAAAGTGGCAAGTTCTATTATCAACCCGGGGTCTAGATCTACTGCCTACTCCGTGATTATCTATTTTCTAGCCAACTAAGTCAAGTGATTGTTGTTTTAGGCAAAGGCAGCAAGAAAGCAGGAATTGGTACGGTTTTCTCAAGCAAAGAAGAGTCACTCGGGAATGAGTCCCCCTAGCTCCTTAATCAGGTCTCAATTGTAATTACCCTGGGTTGATTTACTGTTGATTAGAATGCGGAAGATCCGACAGTAGCTTGGAATCTCTTAAGCTGACCAAGCCCTCTCAGTCTAACTACCCGGCAGACGACTAGTCTTCACCGGGATAGAAAGATGAAGCAATAAGCACATAATCCACTACTAGAATTGGATTCCAGTACAAAGCCGCTTTCTATGGATGACATCCTACTATGCTGCTCCCACCCAGAGTGGGGCACCTTGGGTAAGGTAACTTAATGATTTCCTCCTTCTTGGTAATGCTTTTCCTCGTCGTACTCCACTATGTATTTTCTTGAGCCCGAGTCACCTACACATATTCTCAACCCTTCATCGAAACTTCCATGTGCTTCCTCGAATTCTCTGCCATTCACTAGAACATTTATTGAATGTTCCACTTACTTGTCTATACTCGGTTGGCTTAATGACTTACTCCTATAGCTAGTTTCGAGACTTTAGCTCTTAGCCCTCTAGTTCCAACTTATTAGAGAGGTTCTTCCTTCTGTCACCCCTCATGTAACCTAGGCGGCTAGGTGCTCCCTGCATTTAGGATAGGACAATCCCATAACAGATCATCGTGAACTCTTGCATTCCCCTGTCAATGGTCTCAACGACCTCTTGACCTTTTGTGATCTAGGTAGTTTGTAGGGTCTCTCATATCCCAATAAATCCTCTTTCTAGCTCGACATTGATCACTAGCACCTTCTTAGTCTTGATCCAAGCTCGTTCTTTACCTCGATCATCTTGACGCTTGTCTTGTTCCTTTTAAAGGCTTGCTACCAGCCTAACTCCCCAGGGTGATGTACCGTCTTCTCTAGTGACGTACTTTATCTATAAGGGTTCCTTCATCGTCATATGTAAACGACCATGCCTCCTCTCCTTCTTGACCTATTGACTTCTTGACGTCCTTTTAGACCCCCTTTAACCTACTTACTTCCTCCTTTACTTCATTTATACTCCACTAGCTTCTCTTGAAGTCTAAGCTTTCCACTGCTCCTTGCCACAGTGTTGTAATAGCGTTGACCACTAAAACTAGTTGAGGAACTTCTTGTGGTACATCTTTGTTTCTTGACTCACCACTGCTTAGGGTCAAGGACCCTGAAATTCTCTCATCATTATAGCTACTGACATCTAGTGATTGTTCCTCTTCCTTTGGAGATTCATATTTCTCCCCTTTGTTTGTCTTAGCTTATTAGATCATCCACTTGTTTCCTAGTAGTAATCCTCGTACTACTCTCTCAACTCCTTCAAATCCTTGAGGTGTTCCCTTTCAATTGGCACCTCTTTGCTGGTGTTTGGAGTTGAAGTCCTCGCACATTTGATTCTACCTCCACAGACCTTTGCAACGTTCCTCCTTCCTTCTCTAGGTTGATGATGATGATCTATTTGCTAACGTCCGAGTAGTTGGTTAACTAATTGAAAAACTACTATCCATCATGTCGATGAGATACTTAGTCTTGAGAGCCTTTGAGATTCCACTTGGGTTGGTCACGTTTCTTTCATCCTTTCTTTCTTACTGCGGTCACCATATGCCTAAATCTCTCATTTGACAAACCACGACATGATAACTAAATCGCGTCCTAGCCTATTCTTAAACCATCGCACCCTGGGCTACAATCCCTTCGTGTTGTGCTGACATAGTTATTCACCTTAATATGATTAGAGTAGACTGGAGATCCTATAAACTCTTAAAAGAAGATCCTTGACTCGTTTTCCTTTCCTTTAAAACAAAAGCCTTTAAAACTGAGACCAATATTCTAGTATTCCTTGGAGACCAAGGAACAGAGAAAGACCGGCTTTGATACCAAAATGAAACACCCTAACCCGGCCGGGTACTAATTTTAATAAATTGCCCTTGACAATAAAGTACTCAAATCTTAAATTGCAGCGGGAAAAAATTTCATAAATAAAATACTGAAAACACACTTGTAGTTCAAAGCAAAGCCCTAACACGTGGGCAAATTAAACTCAAACTTTAAATCTCAATATGCTCTCCAGTCTATACTCATAATCATAAAATGTAAATAACTAATAATCTCTAAAGTTGTTGCTACTGAAACCTTGACTAAGCATCCTCTGTGACGCACATCACGTAAATTAATACTTAAAAATACTTCTTAAAAAGAACTTGTTTCTCAAACTTTAGCAATAACTCATAACATCAAGCTTCAAGTAAGAAATAAACTCATCCACAATTAACTTCAAATCATAGCTCAACCATCGCACATATCATCAAACATAATCATGCAATATCAAACATGAATCAAATACTTCACGCACATCACGTAAATTAATACTTAAAAATACTCAAAGCAAATACTTGAAAAACAGTAAGGCGTAGAATTTACCCCCTTTACACTCACCTTATACCCGTCGAAACCAACTCTGAATCTGCTCTAAAATTTCCATACTTGCTCCAATTAAATTCTCCTCGTTATCACGATTCCATAGGCGCTGACGATTCCTCGCCTTTACGCTGCTCGTCCTCAACCTTAACCTCATCCTCTCCAAGTCCGAAGAATCCACCGAGAAGCAATCCCCACACCGGCAATCATAGCAAAGCTCCACCACCACGTCGTTATCAAGTAGCCTCAATATCAACTATAGCTTCATTATATGAGCCTTGTGCCGTTGTATAGACGCCTCTAAATGTGTCAGTCTGGGTGGCCTTGTCTTTCCTTTCTTCACGGTGAGACCTTATGTTTCAGCTTCCAATCTATCAATCTGGGATTCTAACTCGCTCACCGAATTGTTCAGCCAATCCCTTGTCTCTGATTTAGCCTTCTCCCTTGGATCAGTATTAGGTTGTTGACCAAGCCCTTCTTTTGAGAATGCTTTTGTCTTAGTTTCCTTTTTGCAGATCTTAAATCCTTCCATTTCACGTTCAGTCAGCTTACGAGCATCCACCAGTGCCTGTTCATAAGTGGCGCTAACCTTTTTATCCTTAATCTCGCTAGACTGGATCCATGTCTTGATCTGGTCTCTGTATCTCTGCAGTTTCTTGATCTCCTTTTTCAAGGCTGCCTCAAACTTCTCTTTCTGATTTGCATTGTCGGTATCATAAACCTTGTTCCAGATGCTGTCGAAGACATATACACCTTCTTGAACCTTCTTCAGTACCCGATTGATCTCTCCATGTAGCTTCCGACTAGCTCCCATTGCCAAAGGATCTTAAGAATTCCACTCTTCGTCTGGTTATCATTCAAGGAAATAAAATGCGATGGCTGAATCGGAACTGCAGTGCAATGAAGTTGAGAGTCTGTGGTGTTCTAAGGATTTAGGGTTTCAGTGTTTCCTATTCTCGGTTGTGTTGATTTGTAATTTTGGGATTCGACGTTTAATTAGGTGCCGGGTGAGTTTAATCCGAAACTCGATTAATGTCCGTAACTTTCTCATATGATGTCAAAATTCGACACCGCTTGAACCGATAGTTCACATTTTTAGTCCTCCTCGACATCACAGTGAAATTTGACAAATTTGGACCAAGGGCATAATCGTCATTTTGGCTTAGAAAAAGATGGGGTGTAACATTTCCTCCACCCTTATAAAAATTTCGTCCCCGAAATTTGCTTGAAACTCATTGCTCATTCTACACCACCTTTGTACCTCCTTGCCTTAAGAATTTACCTAGCTAAATGTACTTCGATGATGTCCGCTGCTTGACCGATGTCCGTTGCTTGTCCCGTATAGTTTACCTCGCTTCTTATATTTCCTTTTGACCATAGAAGGGATTTTCACCAAGCTCGTTAGCATCGGCCAGCTTTGGGTGGCTACTTATCCTTTTTAATTCCCCACTTGGGTATAAGGCGTGGGACAACACTTCGAGTCGATTTATTGGTCCAGCTCATTCAGTACTTGTTGTTGAACCTATCGAAGTCGAGGTATCACACATATGTTGTGGTCTACACTCTACATATACAAATATACATTATAGGAACAATATCAAGCTTTATATTTTATGAGTCTAAAAGGATGAACGTTTAACTCTTGAGTGGTTATTCAAAGTATTAAGTATGTGTATATATTAGATATATAACTAATTATTTATCTGGTTAATTTGGTTTGGCTGGTTAGGAGTGTCTGAAACCAAACCACCTAAACCAAACAAGCTAAAAACTTTAACCAAACCAAACCAGTTATCCAAATTAACCAAACCAAATTATCCAAATAGTACTGGTTAAAATGGTTACCATGGTAACCACACTGTTTGAACACCCCTTACGAGTGTTGTATTGGCAGAGAGCTTCTACTTTTATAGTTGGAAGGTTGGACTAAGTGTTAATTTGTTAAAAAATTGGTCAAAGCGAGCTAAACATGTTGTTGACCAGTTTTAAATAGAAAGCTAGTTTTGTACGCTTTTCTCTTTTTTTTCTTCTTTTAGTTGGGAAGATAATTGAACCCGAATATAAGGTATTGACGAGAGTTGTATTGTGAGAGAGCTTTATCCGCTTTTATAGTTGGCAGGTTGGACCACGTGTTAATTGTTAAAAAATTGGTCAAAGTGAGCTGAACATGTTGTTGACCAGTTTTAGATCGAAAGCGAGTTTTGTACGCTTCAATATTTTTTTATTTCTCATTTTCCTTTTCGTTGAGAATGACAATTGAACTTTGACCCATCGTTAACGCGTTTCGTATCAAGAGCGAGTTTTATCCGCTTTTAAACTTGACATGTTGGGTAAATTGTGAATTTGTTAAAACTGGGTCGACCTGGTCAAAGCAAGTTGAACGCAGTGTTGAGAGTTTGGGGTCGTGAGCGAGTTTTTTCCGCTTTAGTATTTTTTTAATCCTTTTCCTTTTGGTTGAGAATGACAAGTGAGTCCAAACGCATGAGTATCCAACCTAACTCGACTCGAACCTAGTTTTCCAGGTTTTCGACGGGAGCGAGTTGTATTTGTTTTTGTAATTGCCTAGTTATGTCAGGTGTGAATTTGCCCAAAACTCGATTCAACCAGGTCAAAGCGAGTTGAACTTGGTGTTAAAGAGAATTGAGTCGATAGCAAGCTTTAGCTTTAGTATTTTTCATTGCGTTTTTTTCCTTTTTCATCGCACGAAACTTACCACAAATTAATCCTGAATAGAGCCCAAGTTTTTAAACTCTAGTCGGGTGCAGTATAGAGCAAATATTAAATTGTCAACCCGGGCCGGTCCATGTACCCCTACTTCAATCGCTTAAGTTGTTATCTAGCAAAACGGTTGATAAACCGTTAATTGCACATGTTTTTACCCCTATTCCTGAGCCGTTTGAGATAATGATTCTCGTGTTTTAGGCCGATTTCACGCTAGGTTGTGCTTGTTTGTGATATTTCAGGTCCTAGCACGAGAATGAAGGTTTGGGAGCGAGTTCGGGGTCGTTTGGACGAAGATCGGACGTGTGGCGAGTTGCTGAGGAAGCCACACGGGCACACATAAAACCCACGGCCGTGTGGGGAACCAATGTGGCCGTGTGGGATTGTGCGAGCCTTCACACGGGCAGGCTGGAGATCCTACACGGCCGTGTGTCCCTGGCTGTGTAGGTAGCCTGAAGTCCAATTATTTGAAACACCGCGTTTTGGACCTCACACGGGCATCTGGGTAAGCCACACGGCCGTGTGGCCTGCCCGTGTAAGTCGGGAATTCTGGTTTTTACCCAATTTCGAGCCACAAGTGAGAGGATCGACTTTTTAGAGCAAAAACAGAGTTTTAGAGAGAGAAAGGGCGAAGAACAAACCGTAGGAGCTATTTGGAGTGGATTTCTCACCATTGAAGCCCAGATTGCGTCCCCAGGAGTGCAGATTTTCCTCATCTTTATGAGTATGACTACTCTGATTTCTGTTTTCCTCTCTCTGTCTATGGAGTAGAACCCTTCTCTCACTTGGGTATGAAGAACCTTAGTTCCATGTGTTAGGGATTTGATTGTAACGACTTTGGATGATTATACTGTTTGGTTTTAATCGAATGATGCATGTTTCATTGAATTGATTAAAGTCTGATCAGCTTTTCTTGATTTCTGCTGCAACCTGAGATAGATAGAATCTGATTAGGTTGTTAGAGCTTCATCATTCGGTAGTAGTGGATTGGTTATATGAGAGTTAGCCAGTCTACTGCTTTGTACTGGAATCCAATTCCAGTAGTGGAGTTCTGTGCTTATTGCTTCAGCTTTCTATCCCGGTGAAGACTAGTCGTCTGCCGGGTAGTAAGACTGAGAGGGCTTGGTCAGCTTAAGAGATTCCAAGCTACTGTCGGATCTTCCGCAGTCTAATCAACAATAGATAAACCCAAGGTAATTACAACTGAGACCTAACTAAGGAGCTAGGGGGGCTCATTCCCAAGTGACTCTTCCTTTGCTTGAGAAAACCGAACCAATTCCTGTTTTCTTTCTGCTTTTAGTTAAACAACAAGAAATCGACTTAGTTGGCTAGATAATAGATAATCACGGAGTAGGCAGTATATCTAGACCCCGGGTTGATATTTAGAACTTGCCACTTTACTGCATTCCCGGACTGCGATTACACTTGGTCGCAGTTTGGTGTTGTGTTTTGGCGTGTCAAGTTTTTGGCGCCGTTGCCGGGGAGCACTATAGGTTATTGGGGAAACGTGAAAATTTGTTACTCTAGCTTTTTCTTTATTGCTTTTTATCTCTTCCACCTGTGTGCCTTCACGGGTTGTTTCTGCTGATTGTGTGCAGGTAGTTGATAACGCTGTAATTGCACATGTTTGCGGCCCTAGTTCTTATCCGTTTGAGGGGCATAGTCGTGTGTTTTGGCCTATTTTACGCCGGGTTGTGCTATTTTGTCATGTTTCAGGTCCCAGGCGTCAAAGGGAAGGCTAACCACGAGTTTCGGGGCATTCGGAAGTCATTTCGGTGAGCTGGAGCCAAAACACGGGCAGCCTAAAGCATTACACGGGCGTGTACTGCTGGCTGTGCTTTTTATGCCGAGAGCAAATTTGGTTTGGCCAATTCAGTTGCAAACACGGGCACTGAAGCACGGCTGTGTTCAGTCAAAACACGGCCGTGTCAATCGCGAAGCACGGCCGTGTTTCCACCAGCTGTTGGCCGTGTAATTAAGCCCTGGCCGAGGCACGGGCGGAGTCAAGCAAAGCAAGGCCGTGCCCTCGACCGTGCTTTGGCCACTGATGCTTTTAAGTAGAGTTTCAGCCACAATTCAAGGGGATTTCGAGTTTTTGAGAGAGAGATCAGTTCCTAGAGAGAGAAAGTGACGAGCAAGAGTTCCCAAGTGCCCTAGATTGATCTTCAACACCATTGGAGGCCAGTTTGAGCTTGGAGAAGTGCCGATCAACGTCCAGGAGCCGGAATCCGTCCTTCGCAGTATGAATTCCGTGTCTGATTCTGCTTTTGCTTTCTTCTCTATGGAGTAGTTCTCCCATTCATCTGGGTATGGAGAACCCTAGATTTGTATGTTAGGCTTTGATTGTATGAACCCAAGTACTGATTCTATGATTGATTATATTCGATTGAGGTTTTAATGATTGAATGACTTGAATCCTGATCAAATTCCTGTTGTTTCTGCTTTAACCTAGAATGAGAATATCTGCCTAGGTTAATAGAGTATCCTTGATTGAAGGTAGGGAGTTGGTGACTTTAGTCGAGGAGCCAACTCACTATTCTGTACCGGATTTATTCCGGTAGTGGAGGTTTTGTTCTTAGGGCCTCAATCTGTCGACTCCGGTGGAGGTTAGTCGCCCGCTAGAGAGTCAGATTGAGAGGGTCTGAAGACCTTTAGTCGTGACTTCAGGCTGTTTAAGAACCTTCCGCAGTATAACTATCATAGAAACTGAACTTGGTAATTACAATCCGGCTTAACTGCAGTCTAGGGGGAACCATATCCGGGTGACCTCTTTAACCTGAATACAACCAGTTTACTTGCTTTGTTTGTTTGATAGTTTAGACTTGCATGCCAGTTTCATTGCTAGATAACAAGAATTCACTGAGTAGTCATCACATCTAGGACCCGGGTTGACATATAAACCTAACCCGCTATACTACGCTTTAGGAAGTGGTTTCACTTGGCCAAATCCTAGGGTGACAGTAGAGTCGAGTCAGTAGTGCATGACCCGTAGCCAGTCGGGAGATCTACTACCATTAGACCAGGAGCTTGAACGAACCTGCAGGAACTTCAAGCGGGCTCTAAAGACGCGACTGGCTGCGGAGGAGGAGCTAGCACAGCTGCAGATTGCCGAAGAAGAAGAGATGGGTGATCCACAGGACCATGATGTGGTCCTTCCCGAGGAGCAGACCATGGGATACTACTGGACCGC